GACCCCTTATTTTCGGGGTGCGCCGCACCCCGTGCGCGCGCGTCGTGCGCTGTGCGCAGTGCGGCGCGTGTGCGCGGTGCAGCGCACCTCGATGCGCCACAAGTATGACGGTGACCCAGCCGGCTCGGTTCACCAGTTTGTACTATGTAGCCCAGCAAAGGAAAGAAAATAAAAGAGCCAATACCTAAAAAACGACCCTGTGATGCGCGGATTTTAATCGCACTGGGAACCGGTCTTGGATTAAGTTGTATGTTGAACTGTAATGAACGAGCTTTGACTTTCAAGCCTTCAACTACTGAAAAAAGGAAAAAGATTGAGCTTCAGTTGGGATGGAAAATGCGTATGCAGACAAACTGGTATGTATAAAATTACTATAAATTAGCATAAATAGTATATTACTACAAATAGTATATTGCTTCTTAATTTCTTAAACCACCAGTACGCCTGGGCCTGGAGGCGCCGGCCGCACTGGGCGCCAAGCTTTGGCGAACCGCCACCAACGACCTTTTTTTTCTCCTTTTGTGGCGGGGGTCTCCAGCCATTGTGTGTCCGGCAGCCCTGAGTCTCCAAAATTTTCCGTATGCGACGCACTGCCTTTTCTGCAATGCTGGGGCTGTGTGCTGGCAGTTTACTATAAATGAAGGACGGGCCTGGTGGCCCGCGCCTGAGATTTTGGAGGCAGCATGAGGGAGTTGCAAAAATAATGTATGCATTCGTACCCGGCATGATCCGTGCGCATTGGGCAATCCTCCTTCCCCACACACTTTTTCACTCCAGAAAACAGTGCTTCCCTCTCAAGAATAGCACAAAATGTGGACCTGTCCTGCTACTACTCTCACACAGTGTGGTAAGTTATGGGCATGATGAACAACCTGCTCTCTTCTCCCCCGCCGGAACACAACGCACCCACACGGGATCATGACTTAATCAGTTGAGAGAAGGATAGCTAAGATGGAGTCGTACCCATATTTGATTGAATGTTGATATAATATACATATAATCATAGTTACCAAAGGTGCAAAGCACAATTCCAAGTATCCTCTTCCCTTGGGGAAAATAAAAATTCTAATGGTGTGACGGCGGGGCCAAATAACCAAGAAAGAAATAGTACCAAGACACGAGGGAGAAATCGATCAATGTATTTTGACCATGGTAACCCCGGACCCGGACACCGGACACTTCCGGACCAGTGTCTGGACCGGTCCGGACTGTCTGGTGATCCGGACATTACCAGACACCCGGACATCACCGGACCCGGACAGTCCGGACCGGTACCAGGGGTGCACAAATGCAAGGAAAATAAGTAACAGCGGGATGAAAATTCCAGATCACACCATCACATTGAAAGCCAAATAGTCACACTGTCTCCAGAGAGCAGCATTGCACCAATAATACACCAATGGAGGTTCGTGGCACTGAAAACCAATGTTCATGGAGAGCACACTCTCTCCTCTCAACACAAGAGTCCAGTTCCTTCACACTCACACTTGGCGCTCAGCGCCCAGCCTACTTCTACACAGCTACTACAGACTACAAAAAGACAATGCAACTGTTGACATCAGCGGCAGAGCGAAGTACTTGAAGATGTCGCCCATGCAGACCATCGCCAATACAAGGTACGTGCCCTCACATCATCATCATCATTATCATCCTTCACCTATCCCCTGACTGCACCACACCTGTCCTCTCTTTGACCCGAAGACCAACCCTGCGCTTCACTGTAGTCCAAGCCCACCAGCTATGGTGGCTGGGCTATGGCGCTGCCCTCAGCAGCGCCCTCCTCCTCTGCACGACCGCACGTGCTGCACCTCGCCTCTCAGCGCTAGCAGCAACCTACGAGCATGAGCTCCAGCAGCGCTGCCGCCAGCATGCGAGTGCCTGAATGAGGCAGCCAGGGCTGAGCTCTTTCCTTTATGGAAAGAGTTGGCCTGCTCACGCAGTCTGGCCGCCCTGGCCTGGGCCCAGAAGCTTCCGGAAGGCCCCAGGAGGCTGCCTGGATGCAGCAGCTACTGGGCTGCTAGGCCTCGTTCGGTTGGGCGCCCAACTGTCTCTGTATGAGGCTGCGAATCACGCCCAGGGCCTGCATTCTTTGGAAAGGCCCGGTAGGCCGTGGAAATGTCTT